CAGGGCCCGGCCGACCCGCCTGCGCTTGGTCTTGAGGACGCGCTCGGTTTTGCAGGAGGTGTAGAGAGCTTCCACGTCTTCCCGGGAGATGAGTGTGCATTTGGCTGCGTGGAAGGCGATGCTGTTGATTGCCTTGAGTTTCCGCAACTCCTCCAGATCGCAGTGGTGCTTCTTCACTTTCAGATGATCCATGCGCTTGTGCACGGTCGTCCTCGGGATGTTTTTCAGCAGATCTGTGAAGACTTGGGAGAGGGCAAACATTTGCTTCCCTTTAATGATGAGGTAGCCGAGCCTCACGCCATCCACCTCTTCAAAACCTGACTTCAGGTCTCCCATCTCGGGCACTAAATGATCCCCACCATTTGCAGTAAATATATACGTGACGCATACATACACATGTATGTATGTTAATCCTCCGCCAGATGCTGCGTGTGTCTCAAGGCATCCTGCTAATAAAATAACAAAGACTGTTATTCCCGGCGAAGGAAGTGCCAAACTCTAGGCGAAATTATTGGGGGGGGGAACCCCATGAAATTACACTGACTTGATTCTTGCTTTTTTGTTGTTGTTGTTTTCGTTTTTTAAAAAAAGAGGGAAAAAACCATCCGGTTTCTGATCTGCCAGTGTGTTGGTCTGAGTCCCCGATGCAGATCAGTACCTGGGCCCCTCTATTCCTTCCTTCTCCATTGGAGCACTATGATAATGGAATGTGAAGGGAGAAAGAGAAAAGAAATGCAGCTGCTATTCCCGCCGCTGCTTTAGCTACAAATAAAATGACAGAGTGAAGTGAGCTCGTCCGGAGACACCTTCATCAATTAATTCCCCTAAAGCCAGCGCTGATTGGACACTCCTGACAGGTGATGCAATAAAAATTGATATTCCACCCCTTCCCCCCAAAATCTCCCACTAATTAGCATACCCTTATACTGCCACCTCCCCTCCCAAAGTAAATAATACAGTCGGTATATAAATCTTTCCATTAAACTATCGGAGCTCAGAAACAGCCTGACTCACAGACTTCATCAGAAGCAGTGTGTGTACGGTTAAGGAAGAAAAAAAAAAAAAAAAAAAAAAAAAAAAAAAAAAAAAAAAACCGCACCGTATATTCGCCTTTAAAGAAATACTGCCTATTTTTTCCTTTATTTGCATTTTACCGATACAGCTATTATCATTTCAAAGAAAAGCATTTAAAAAACATTATCAAGCCGAAAGAGATATACCCCACCCCCTTTTCCTTTTGGAAAATGGAGCTTAAGCGAAAATGTGCAGAATAGCCTGGTATTTCCCTTACAGGAGTGGGGAAGAAGACCGGCTAGGAGCTCCAAAGTTAAACCCGCCCCGTGAACCACCCCAGTGCGGACTTACGTTTGGAATTTCTCTCGATTTTCCTTTTTTTTTCCCCCCCCTGAAATGCCTTTTTACAACCAGAAACAAAGTTATTTGACCAGGGAAGCAGTTCAAGGCTCCAGCTCTGAAACACTGTAACAATTCAACTGGATTTCGGTTCTCTGCTGGGGGGTGGGGTGGGGAGGAGGTAGTTTCACGTCAGACCCATAACAAAGCATAGATAAGCCAGAAATGTGTACACTTTTCCACAATTAACCGTACTGGATTGGAGGCGGGATCGTCCAAGAGTCCCCAGCAAAGCCTTTGCCAGGGTCCTGTTCACCACAGGTCAGAATTCCAGGGAGCAGATTGCTTCCTTCTGCAGCAAAGAAAAGAAAATGTCAAACGCCCAAGGTGCTTCCAGAGGTTTTACGTAATAACAATGAAAAGAAAGTGCTGATGTACGATGCAGACTGTTTCAGTGGTTTGTGATGCTTTGGGTTGGTAGTTTAGGTGAATCTTCCACAACTCCCAGTTTTTCCATCAAAGTCAAGCATCTGCTTTAACAAAATCACTTTGGATGAAAATCAATGTGGTTTAACCTCTTCTTAGTCAAATTAAGGCATATTTTGGTGTCATTTTCAAGGATATCCAAAATATTGCCAAATGAGAGCAAGGGTCCTCCCAGTCGCATTACTACGATCCCAAGGCGGCTCGTTGGCTGCTTTGCAAAATTCAGCAAAATCTTCTTAACTGTTCGGTGTTTGCAACTACAACATAAATGCAACCCAGGCATTTATGTGTTTCCTTGTTCCTCCAAAAATAGACACATCCGCGTGATTAAAAGAATAAACGGATATTTCTGAGCCTGCAAGAAAAAAATTATACAATAATTTCTTTCTTCACATTCAAAAGTTCCAGCTTCCTGTGCTCTGGTCTGGCTGGCACGAGCAGGTATGGCCCAAAAAAGAAAACAGAAAGATAAAAACAGAGGAATCAGACATACAAAAAGGTAGTTTGTTTGACAAGATGAAATCTCGGCCATAATTCCCCACCCCCACCCCCATCTCCTTTGTAATTTCCCAGGAATTTTGAAGAGAATTGGGAATTTCAAGAAGTGCATCCGGAAATTAAGGAAGTCTATTTAAGACAGTTTGTAACTCAGGAGGTTGGGATTTGAAAAGTCAGCCCCTGAACTACTGTTGCACTCAGCACAGATGTAATCGCCGCTCTTCAACTTAATCAATGTGTGTACAAACCGCGATGTCTAGTTCTTGCCTTTGAAATCTAAGGCTAGCATTTCCATCCAAGAAATCAGAGCTACAGCAAATTACATTTTTGTCCCTTGAATGAAAGAAGGATCATTGAATGGATCTCGTGATATTTCAGGCTTTAAACGTAACCGAGAGGCAGCAATGAACAATGCCTCGTCACAGCTAATACCATCCACCGAGTTGGCTTTCTTTTGCATCTGGATCTATTACACTGCGTTTTTCTCTTTCACTTTCACAAGAGGCAAAATGCACAAGGTTTAAGCAGAAAGCGAAGTTTTCAGGAAAAGCAGATGCTCGTGTTTGTTTCTAAAAGTAGAATGACCAGAGTCTTTCTATTGCCAGCAACAATAATGTCGTTTTAAAATTCCTTCTGATGCACTTATATAGTACTGCCAGCCCTCTCCCTCCCACCCCCACCCCCGCCTATTCCCCTCCCCCAGCTTTAAGATTTAGACCAAAGAGTCAGCCAAGAAATAGTAAACTCAGAAAAAGCCTTTGAGAAGACAGTACAAAAGGTTGGCTAGAGCATCTTTTTTTTTTTTTTTTCCAGGTAGTTTTAGTTGTTCTCCATTCCTGTTTAGATTTTCTCTCTCTCTCTCTCTCTTCCCCCTCCCCCAGTCCTCCTACACATAGCAACATGATTTAGTAGCCATTTCAAAACTACCTTCTTTTCCTCTCTCTTCCTCTCTTTCCACCTTTAAAATTATTGGCAATATAGGTAGTTTTGAAAACTAGTAGCTTATTAAGTTTTTTTTTTTTTTTTTGTCTAAGGGCAAATCTGTTGGGTGAAATAGAGAAAAATAAAGGCTAGGGGATTTGACTTTGTGCAAGTATCTATATGTACACTCAGACACCTTTACACTTATACATTTTTAATACTACTATTACACATCTTTCTTCTTAATACATTCTTTTGTTCCTTTAACTTCCCCATCCTTGTGTGTATGTGTGTGTTAGGCTCCAGCACTCTTGCTCGAGTGAGTGCATAGACACACGCACACGCACACATACACACACAAACACAGAATGTGACAGACAGCTTTCTTGTGGCCATCAGCACACGTTGCATATCCGGGGTCTTCTCCAGGCACATTGGGGGTCGATCCCGATAAAAAGATCTAGCAGAGGCCCCTGAGTGCTCACACATGAAAGGCAGGGGACTTTAAGATGGATTTGCATGCACACCGGGGATTTCGATCAATAGCTACCAACATTTATGGCTTAGATTATTAATGCGAAAGCTGGCCAAAAGAATGGGGATGAAAAATTAAAGGTGTCTGTTATCAATTATGCTTAAAGTTATGCAATAATTTACTTACTTTGCCTGATGTGCAGATCCAGATGTATAAAGTACTATTCTTCAAAAGCCAGGGGGTTTCTTTGATAAATTTGTTGACCATGTCAGCTGCCTCTACAATCAAAGATGAACCCAATTCAGATAATGGACTGTATTCAAATTCTTTTTAAGAAAAGATGTATCAACTTCTATGTTTTTCAAATGCATGTACATATGTGGATAGATATGTCCAAATTAACATTTATATCTATATCCTTCTCTGTGGGTCCAGGGAATTATTGTGAATTTAGGCACATGTATAATATGCATTGAGTTTAATTAAATGTGATTATTTACTCAGTGAGGAATGCCTAACCTACACACTATTGTAAAAAGTACTTTAGCTTTGAAAACAAAGCTGCTTGCAAAAGGAAAATTCTCTTTAGCAAATACAGATTGAAATATATTCCTAATGTTCACTCACTTCTGCATTTATTGTAAAAAATCAGCACTTTCAGTTTTTAAAGTGAAGGGCCATGAAAATATGAACATATTTGTCTTTACTTATCCCATATGAATGTGCTAGATTTACCTTCAGATGCTCTATTTTGATTTATTTTCACTGTATTTTATGTTTAAATACCATTGCAATTCAGTCTGACCTCTTTCCTCTGGAGCGAAGTAATGTACACGGCATTTACAGTCTTTTAAATGGTTAGCTGGGAAATGCAATAGCAATTTGCAGGAGTAGTTTACTAATGGGGAAAGTTCTTTTGAAAACCTGAAGGAAAACCTAAGAGTACTTTTGCATTTCTACACTACAACTGTCATATAATTAAAGTATTGAAGAGCATTAAAATAATCCTTTTCCTTCCAAGCTTTCACCCATACATGCATAATTTAAATGAGGATCACCGC